AGCGTTCCCAGCGTCACCAGCGTACGCTAGCGTTGCGAGGGCACGGGATGTAGCTATCGATCTAGCCCAGCGTTTCACGAGCGTTTCACCAGCGTTAGCGCTTGCAGCGGTCGAGAGTAGAGATTGTGGGATAGTAGGAGAGTATTATGAAATATACGTGAATTTTGTAGTGAGCTGAAGGCTCGAAGTTGGCAGCTAATAACGAGCAGTTTCAAGGATGTCACTGTTTTCCACTTTTTTTGATATACACAAATGTTCTGTAAGTAGCTTTTCCCGTAGAAATCCTAGGGCTACTCAATGCGCTGAAAATTCCATTCAAAAACGTAGGAAAAGACATATTTGTACCGATATGGCCGATCTACTAAGTTCTGGTAGCTAAAAAAGCTTCATTTGGGCTTCTTGAAGTCCTGGAATCAGTGTACTCTTCTATACTCTCTAGCGCCGCCGAGTATTTTGTACTCTCCTACTCTATACTCTCTAGCACGCCGCTGGCAAACGTTAGCAAAACGCTAGTGAAATGCTGGAAGCGCTACACTACGCTAAGCTGCCGCAAAGTATAAACGCAGCCTTATGAAAACTGCTGTTCAGCGCCGCTGTTCGTCTTACGGGAGTTCGGGTTCGAGTGCCACCTGACTTTTGCCCGTAACTTAGCGTCACTGGAGTACGTCTTCAACAACTCGCGCAATCTCAACTGAATTGAGATATGCGTTTGAGACTATACAGGGCTTTAATCGTGTCAGCTTTTAAACGGAAGAGCGCGGCCTCATGCTGTCCAACTAGTGCTTTTCTCTTCATCCGGCCTGACCTACGATTGAGTGTTGAAAGGTTTATCCAGTCTGATATATCATTGTCCATCAAAATTTACCAAGAAAACCACGCATGCTACGTATTATTAGTTTCCATGACACGGATGTGATTCTGTTCAAGTACTTTCGTTGGTTTTTTTATACAAAAAATTGTGCTTTCTATGTGGAAAGTATTCATAATTTTTTTAATCTTAGATTCGAAACCCTCCTGCTCCAGACGCGGCTTCCACCTCCCCTCATGGTGCGGTTTCTTGAATTCCACTTTCTTCTCAGACAAAATTGTTTTGTATATATAATCATCTCAATTGCAGTTCTCACAAAGTGTCCTGATAAAGAAAACGATCCGAGGCTGACTGCTCGATCATGCACCGCTGAAGCATCTCGTCATCAGGTTAACAATGTTTTTCGCATCCTCGTGCTCCTCTTTTCCCATAAAGTCGAGCTCTGTCATCCCTCATTATAAAGACTTGATGAACTGCACGCTGTAGGCTCTCAAGTGCCTGAATTGTTTGTATCCAGTGTGACTTCCTAACCAGGTTGCTTACACATGATACCATTCCCATTACCACTTTTCAACCCTCTGCACCGAAAGAGGGTTGAAAGGGATAATGGGAATGCTATCATGTGGCTTAACACCATCGAATCAAGTCTTTCTTCTTATCCCGTTACATTCTTGCTACCTGCATATCTTAGAGTTTCGCCGGATAAGAAAAGGGGAGCTAGAAATTCTCTATTTGAATCCTGTGTTGTACAGTCGAGTCTTGACTTTTGTGCATGGTCTTGTTACAAAATCCTGTGACGCAGACGGATAGAGGGCAGCGGCTGCCAAAGCATCGAAGAACGTGCAGTACGTGTCGCGGCGAGCCAGCGAAACGGATCTGATCGAAGGGGAGAGGACTCCCAGGGAGTGGACGTGAGCTACTTACAGATCGGTGAAAAGCGGGACAGTGCGGCGAAGTCAACCACACGCGCCATAGGTGCCACACGGACGAGAGAGTGGAGAGAAAAAGAGAAGATCGACGCGTTTAAAGGGATTGAGTTCAAGTTCTCCGTGGACCACAGGCGCACACAGACATGTCATAGTCTCTGATGATGCTCTTCGCTCTCAGCGCGCGGCGCGCGGCAGATTGCTTACTGTAAAACAATACACGCCGCTTAGCTTGGGCAGTTGCGCTGTTTGCGCACTGCCATACAAATTGCCTACATATGACCTCTCTTTCATCATTCATTCTTCTTTCTTTTCTTCTTTCTTTTTTCTTTTTTTTCTTTCTTTTTTTCTTTTTGTCTTTCTCTCTCTCACTCTTCTATTATATCCAAACCCAATGAACTACCGAAACCGATCAAGAAGGGTTAAATCAAATTCTATCTCTAGATTCCATTACGTACGCATCAGCCACTCTTCGTATGACAGTGGGGCCCACCGTCTACATTTCAGTTACTCTACTTTTACACAGAGCATTTTCGACGGTTCGGTACGTCAGTTTACAGCGCCTTCGTTGTTGTGCTGCCCTCTGGTTTTCTAGTACCACTTAAACATGCTGGTCACGTGTCGAGTGCAAAGTCTCCACAACACGATTTCAGTTGTCGTTCCCGTCCATCAGGCTGAGTGCACGATGAGTGTCAAGCAGTCTATACACACCGGAAAGGCATGGGCCACCGAACAACGCGTTTCCAGTTTTGTCCAGTCTTACACGTGTGTCTTTTGGGTGTCCTTCGCTACGGTAGCTATAATGAATTCTAATGATTAAGGCAGTTATTCAACATGAGCGATGATGATTGGAAGACCGTTTGAACCAATAATGCTCGACGAATTGATTGGCCATTTAAAAGAGAAGAAGACATGGTTTGTCATAGTTGTATGCTATGCTGATAACATCTCGTTTCCTAAGCTGGAGTCAGTGGTGTGCGAAACTTGAGAAACTGCCAGTTTCAAGATTGTTTTAACGTCTCAATAATTTTTCCGTCTTCGTTAGTTTTTCATTTTTTCGCGAATGAGCGCAACTTTAGAGGCACCAAAGAGTCAAAGGCACTATAAATCTCTAAGGCGTAGGATTAATACGCCTAGCATGACAGAATTTGCGCCTCTGAGCAAGCGCTGCGTGGCGCCTTTTCCTTGAAAGGTACCCTCATAGCGCCCTATCAGGGCGCAGCATACCGACCCGGACGTTTGATATGAAGCGACTGGTGCGGTGCTGCATGGATTCATGAGTACATACGTGCCGACGTATCCACAATAGCTGTTATTGGCTCGATGCCAAGGGGAAACTCACCCAAAATATTATAGAATTCAAATAGAACAAAGGCTTTTCTGCAGGCTTTTGACCGTTTTATCCTCTTTTTCCCCTCTAAATAGCACCCCTGCTACCATTTTAGCAAGTATCGAATTGTCCTTATGCCTTTGAATAATTATAGCTAAAGAGGCTTCTGGCTCACAAGACAGATTCCAGAGGCCGAAGAATCCGTGTTACAGGAACCCGGACTGTCATGGGGCGCGTTGTTGGATT